CCAGTTTTTGTCGATAGAGGGTGTCGCATGCTCAGCACCATGGATTCCCACGGCTGTTAATCTCAGTTGTCTAGACTGGAGCCGCTACTTTTCCATTCAAGTAGCTCTTCAAATATCCTCTCGAAGCTGAGTGAACCTTGCTCCAGACCCACTACTTCTCAGAAAATCTGGTAGTGCCAGGAGTTAAAACCGGTCCTCTGGATCTGTAGCCAGGAACTCTGACCCCTAGACCACAGATGCAGTCCTGATATTCTCTAATGTACAAAGAATCCTGTCTCTAATTCTTGCCTCATCTGACCTGTACTTCTACTAAATCTAATTTATACTTTGCTATTTGTCTTGAAACAATTGTGAGTGAAGCTGCCCTATAGATACTCCTTACACTCCTTGTGCCAAATCTCATGTCCATCTTCCTTTGCTTAGATTGTTCCAAGGAATCCATGTAGCCTGATGCCCTGTGTATCTTTTGTAGCAGACTGTTTATATGGTGGGTCATATGCCCAAACACGAAGCTGGAGGACCACCCCTTGTCAGCTGTCAGCGGTCAGCGACTCCTTATTCAATATGTTTATAGCTACCTTCAGTATCAGAGGCAATCTCCTCTATCTGCAACCTGAGGACATGCCATGCAGTGGTGATAATGAACCCATGATGCATAAATTATCTGAATAAATATGGACTAGGAAATAATTGTTTGTTACCTATCCTTAATGCACATGTTCTAAACATACACCTGTGAGAATGTATGTATCCCTCTGTTTCATAGTAGCTGTCAGTGAAGAATTAGAAACAAGTGAAACTGTGGATGACCCAGTTTCAAAATATCGAGCTTTGTTGCGAGGACTTGAGGAGCAAGAGGAGAAGAAGAAGCTCCATGATGTGGAAATGGAAGTTTCTTGGGGAGTTGGTCTGAAAGATAAGACAGAGGAACTGGTTCAGAAGAAGTTGAAGGAAAAAAAAGATGACTTAACACCATTTGAACAATATCTGAAGAGAAGAAAGGAGAAGAAGAAGCAAAAGAAGGATGAAAGGAAAAAGAGCATCCAACAGGTAAAACTCGCTTATGTGAAAGATGTAAGTCATTTGTACAATTGTACTAGCTTCTTGTGCAATTAGTGTTGTATTCTAGTGCAAGGATACCAAATAATTTTGAGTAACAGTTCATTTTGGTTATTAACCCGTTGCCGTGGTTCGTCGTGTATGTTTCGTCAGGGATTTAAATCGTCTGGGGGGGTTCGACGTGTATGTTTCGTTCAGCTGCACACCTATGTTATAACGCCCATAATAATTGATGGTTTTGCTGTAGATTGTTAGATTTTTCGCTGGCCTGTTGTCAGTAGAACAGAGTATAAATAAGACACGACTTTATCTGTGCCAAGTCATCGTTACATATGCCTGTCTTGCAGCAAAGTTCCTGTGGTTCTGGCGAGCGGTTTCTAGCTGTACTCTTATGAAGGCGTGTTTTCTTTGCTTCGAAGATATAAACAGAAGAGACGTGATGTTTACTGTTGTATATGATATCATATTACCCTGAGCTGGCCACATTGACACACTCAACTGAAATTCTTAGAATAGGGTTGTCCAGTAATTTATTCTCGCATTATCCATTGATTTCGCACAGTACAAAGGCCCAGTTCTGAGAAAAACGCCACAATTTAAGGCAGAACACTGTGGTCACCCCCTG